CCACATAGAGGAATTATCGATATTTGGCAGTAATCGAGATACAGGAAGTAAACTTGTTTTCATATCTTACCTTGTTCTTTACTATATTATAGGTATTTTGCTACATTATTATGATGCTGTTTATTATATCAATCACTATATTCTTAATTCATTAATAATTTTTATTCGTTTAAATTTATGCTAATTTAGATTGGAAATTCAATGTCCCATGAAATATGTATTAAAACACCACTCTTGTGAGCATTCACAAATGTTGTATATATATTCAAATTGTGTATGAATAATTGGATAATAGTAATATATAAACCACAACAGCCTCAATTAGCATATTCCATATCATTATAATCCATATATCATATTCCATTATCATATGTAACCGTTGTCTCGATTTGTAACGAAAACTGGTTTCGATTCATAATAATATGTACATCATGAAATATCGATTCGTTAATAACGAATTTCCAAAATATTCCGCTGATTATGCAATTATTGAACTCATTGAATAATATTCCTCTAATGATAATTAACGGAAATAATAATAAACATTGTGGGAATAATACGAAATGATCTTAATAATCTATAAAAATATATATACATACCAAAATTAGGTACCTCAAAATGATTCAATTTTTAATGAAAAATCTACTGCGATTTGTAAGAAAGATTTATATAGAACACGCTAAATAATGAATAATTTAGCATTTCTAAAGTTCTGCAGTAGACCTCTAATTCATTCAATTCAATCTCTAAAGTCTTCCTGTTCATCAATGATTTTTAATTTCAAGATTTAACATTGGACCCGTGCTAAAATTGGAAGATTTTAAAATAAGAAAGATATTAAGATGGTTTAAAAATTACATTCTGATAATTTTTTTACTAGAATTTTTTTCAAAACCCATATCTATTATCATTGTAAACAATGATCTAGAATTTTTAACTTCCCGTAGGGTAAGTTATAGTAATCGGCAAAAAATAAAAAATGAGAATTTTTGTATATCTTTACGTTTTGAAGGTTTATGAATATTTTGGCATACCTTAGAAAAAATGGATGTACATGTGTGTGTGTGTGAATGTTTGGATACAATTTTTTGTCCACGATTTCGGTTGCACGAATCAACCGATTTGAATGATTCAAAAAACATTCGATTCCTACTGATGAAAAAACATAGTTTTTAGTTGAGACAGGTCCACCCGTTTCGAAGATACGGGGCAAAAAGTGCCAAAAACGGTAATTCAAGTTTTGAGAGAACGAGTACCCGATTTGAATGATTCAGAAAACATGTTACTAGTATTGACAAAATGAAGAATTGGTGAAATTTTTGGTTAGCGGTTTCGTAGATTCAGAGAAAAAAGTAAAAAACACATCAAATTATCAGATGACATATACACATAAAATTATCAGATATTTGATAAAAAAAATTAAAAATGAGTACTTATTTTGTTGGGTTCCGTACCAAAATTGTTAATTTTTAAAGTTTACTTTTCTAAAATATACAAAAATTTATACTTCAAATATGAATTTTGAATTTACAATTCAGTTTGCAAATGTATATATTTCAAATGCGTTATTCTAATCGTAAGAAATATATCTTCAGAGGAATTTATTCAGCACCTCTTGCTAATGTAAACTTTCTCAAGTGTTTTGAAAGACAAGATCGTCACTGTAAGTTTTTTGAATGATAAAATATATAGTGAATATAATTATCTATTTGAAAATATTAACAATTGTCATCAATCATTGATCAATATTTATTGATTACTGACTTTTTTCGTCGAATATTTAATTCTGGTACAGCAATTTACCTTAAGGCACGATGCCATACACCACTAGTTATTTTTGAATATTTGAGTGAAAGCAGTTTTGTGATCTTATGAATCTGATTTTATTTATCGTTCTAGTGCTTAGTAATATAAATTTATCAATGTCTGCTTCTTAGTTCTTATGAAATGCAAGATGCACAGTTATTTGATTCAACTTTTTATTTTGTCGTTTTCTTCTGGACTCGTTTTGCAAAATGCAATCTGATGAGAGCTGTTCGTGCACTTTTAGTCCCTTAACTTCAGACCATGGAAACCTTTTTTATTGGTAAAAAATCACTATTATTATAATTGTATTTGAAAAACAAAAAAAACAGTGGCCAATTGGCGAAACTTTGAAATTTTTTGAAAATTATTGATATTTTCGAATGCTATTGCGCTCCGTAGCAGTTTCTAGCAGTCAAACACTATAAATGTTGATATGATACCCATTAAAATGAAAACAAAATTTTTACAATAATATTTAAATCGCTATAGAAACCGTTGGACTTCTGACTGACTTCCCATAAATCTAATCCATTAAAACATAGAACAAATTTGAATAATTCAAATCGGATGCTCCGTTCTTTTAAAAACTGAATTGCCATTTTTGCACTTCTTGTCTCGTATCTTCAAAACGGCTGGACCTGCCTTTGCAAAAAACAAATCAGCATATCTCCTCATCAATAAGAATATAATTATTTTTAAATAATTCAAATCGGTTGCTCCAAGCTCTCGAAACCGTAGGCAAAAATTTGTATCCAAACATTCATACATACACACACACACTCACACATACACACATCAATCGTTCAAAAACCTTTAAAACCTAAAGATATGCAAAAATTTCATTTTCGATTTTTTGATTACTATAACTTACCCTAATACTACAAATATTATATTGCTTATCAATATTTATTTTAATAATACAATACTATTCAGATTGAATTCTATTCAATATATCGAATCAATTTAGTAAGTCAATAAAATTACCTTTTACTAAAGTTATGAGTGTGTACAAAGTGTAAAAGATTTTAGAATGTTTATTGAAATGTTTAACGTTTTCATTATCACTAATAATCGACCTATTTAAAATTGAAGAGGTAACTGGGTTTATCGTAGACGACCGATTTTAGCAAAACTTATTTATCTCAATTTGAAATATACATTTTACAGATGCACTAAACAATATAATAACATTATTATTATAATAATTCTTCAAGTGTGCTTGATACTATAGTAGTATTTTTAATATAAATAGCAAAATAAAAATCTCAATGTAGAAATGACTAATATGCGAAGGATACAAATTAGAATGGAAAAAGAATAAAATTAAATAAAGTTTGAAACAAACAAAAAATAGAATTTAGGGGTATCATTTTTGCGTTATTGTTTAAAAACTATTTTCGATCCAAATTTGAATATATTTTGTAAAATATGTTCAAAAATAGGTAAAAAACTTGAAACAACCATTGAACAAACGAACTCGATTTACGACTACTTTTTTTCTAAATTGTGTCCTTATTAACTAGTAATCATATACGTGCCATATTTACTCTACGATTGTAAGAGTCAGATAACAATAAAATATAATCATAAAAAACAAGATTGAATACAGAATTAAAATTTCTAATTTCTCTCACACAATAAATCCATTATATTACATTTCTGAACGAGAATTTGTTCACAATGTCAATTGTGCAAAATTATAATACTAAGAACTTCGAGTTCTTAAAGTTTAGAATTCGCACAATGTTAGTTTATTGATGAAAAATTATGCATCGTCATGCCGATTTGGCTTAATTGCAATAGTTGGATATATTATGAAATAACTTTCCAAGATGTTTATTTGCTTATATTTCATTCAGAATTTTATAAAATATAGTTAGATGATTTAGAGAAATAATTTGTATATAGCAGATTTTAAAATGTAGCGCTGAAGATGGGTCAAATCAGGACCCGAAACGTTCGACAAAAAAGACATTTTTCTTCTCTAAAATCGTTTAATTAACTTCCCGAAGAAGTTTATTATATATTTTATTAAGTTTTCATCGAATGAGACCAAATTTGGAAAAAGTATGTGTGTGTGTGCGTGTACGTGAACAGATTTTTTGCCGTAAATCGACATTTTCTCAAAAACGACTGGACCGATTTAAAAAATTTAGAAGCCATTCGATGTATCTCGATGAGGACTAGAGCTAATCAGTTTAGCACGACGATCAGCACAGCCGTTTCTTTATAAATAGCAGAAAAGTGAAAAATGTTTTGTCCACGTTTTAGCCCGCAATTCTGTTTGAAAAATTAAAGATTCAGATCAAAAGATATTGGTTGGGAATCGACCTGATTAGTCTTTGGTAAAGATCGGTCGGGCCGTTTTCTTGTAATAAATTGTTAAAAAAATTTATGTTTTTTTTTTTGACAATAGATACTATAGTCTTACTAAAATAGATCTTACTAAAATATTACAGCCCTACGACTAGTCGTTTAATTTTGAAAATTCTTGAAAGTTTGCATTGGTATCGTTTTTTTTAGCATTTGTCAAAATTAAGCCTTTCATCGACGTTTGCTCAAAAACGCCTGAACCGATTTCAGCCATTTGATGTATCTCAATGAGGACTATCGTTTGTCAGTTTTGTGCGACGATCTGCCGAGTCGTTTCTTTGAATTTGAAAATAGCGTTGAACTTTTTGTATATATATATATATATATATATATATCATAAAATACTTATAACTGATTACAAAAAGACACGAGGCATGTTGCAGTGTTATCATTATGTACTGATTACTTAAATAAATAAGAAAATTCAGTTTAAAAAAAAAATTCTTATTTGATTATACCTGTTTATATTAATTCGAAAAAAGGTTGGCAAAGTCTGTTTTTGGAGTACAATCCGTGGAAGCGTTCGTTCGAATCCAACTGGTCGCACATTGTAGTATATTACTACTCAAGTCGCCCAAACATTTATGTTTTCAGTCAGTGATCTTTTGGCATCCAAACACAAAACTATCCCATGTGACACAACCGGGAAAACTTTATCTTAAATAGATAATTATTATCTACCATAGATAAACGACAATTATCTAATGACGCCATGAAAATACGATACGTTGCGGTTTAAAAAAAATTAATAAAACGTGCTTTTTGGGGATTTTTAAAAAACTTACAAATTTTAAGTGAGTGAATATAAAAGTGACTTCAAAATGAGTATCATTGACATGAAGACTGAGAGTGTTCAGGATAATGATTTGAGTACTTTAATGAGATTGACAGGACGACACACTGTGGATATGGATTTTGAAAATTTAACGTACTCTGTTAGTGATAGGAAACAAGGTGAGATTTTATCTAATCAATATTTGGATAATTAGACACGTGGTTTAGTGAAAAAACGCCTTAATTGTTTTGATTTTCTCAGATTAAAGATTATTTTAAGTTTGAGACTGATAACAGATAATTTTTATCGTTATGTTGATTTTTAAGAAAATTCTAATCATATTAGGTTTATGCTAAAAATATTTTTCTATAAAATTCAGAGTTTTTTATGATTGACAACATCAACTAGTTAATTATATCATCATATCATTACATCAATAATAGTTAATTATTGACTTTCAGTAGGGTAAGTAATTGTAATCGTTCAAAAATCGAAATTGAAAATTTTAAAATTTCTTCACGTTTTGAAGGTTTCTGAACATTTTGGCATACCTCAGAAAAAATGAATGTGTGTGTATGTATGTATGGATACAATTTTTTGACCGATTTAAATGATTCAAAAAACAATACAAACAAAATAGAGATATGTGCTGATTAGTTTTTGGCAAAGGCATGTCGAGCCGTTTTGGAGATACCGAGCTAATTGTGCAAAAAGTGGCAGTTTTTGAGAGAACTAAGCATCCGATTTGAATTATACAAATTTTTGTTTGTGTTGACGAAACGATTGCTTTTGGGATTTTTTTTATTTTTTTTCGAAAAAAAAATTTTTTGAGTATCGAAAATAAATCCAATTTTAATTTTTACTATAGCTAAAGCTCACTTATATACTTCAAATAAATAATTTTAATTTTGCAATTCCGTTTATATGATCCTACAAATATTAGATAATGCCCTTGATTTTAAATTTGATTGATTAAATTTTGTGTATTTTCTTTGCCGTAAACATATATAAGGTACAGTATTTATAATAATCTATTTGAAAACATTTAATATTTTTCGATTATTTCAATATGATACGGGAAGTTCCAACAATTTGCTTTAAGGCACGATGCCATTAATCACTAGTTTCAATATTTTTCTTATGTGTTCATAAATCTATCGACTTTATAAACATTCAGTCATCTGTGATTAACTATGTGGTCTTGAAAAGGATAATTGCATAGTGGAAGTCCTTCAATTAAAAATAGCAAAAAGTATATGAACTGAATAATTAATAATAATATATAAACAAGCGTTAATATTATCAACTTCTATTCTATTATATTTATTAGTGGAAATTTACTTGAATTTAAATTGCAGGGATTAGAAAAATGTAAAAAATAATTGACAAAGTAATTTTTTGTCAATACAATATACATGAATTTTTGTTTCAATTTAAGAAAAATAATACGATCAAAATAATTTATTAAAAAATTAAAATCTTCTAGTTCATAACATTTGTGTCAATAACAAAACCTATAACATTGCAAATAAGTAATGATTTTGCAAAAATTAATTAATTTAAATATCAGATATAATTCAAGTTTATACTTAATTCATTAATTTTTCAAAAATTTATACATTTTTCACCTATTATTCGAAAACAAAGTGGTTGAATCGTGATTGATAAAATGACTTTAATTATTCTTTAGGATTTTAAAAAAAATTACAAAAGGCTAATGAAGTAATATTCCTTAAACAAAACTTAACCAGTTTATAACATTTAGACAAAATATATAAATTATATATTTTTTTGGTATTTAATAATACTCTTTCATTGCATCAAATGCATATCTGCTTGCACTTTCGTTCTTTGACTTTTTCAACTTACAAAATTTATTTGATAAATTTCGTAAAAATATTTTTTTTTACTCATAATTTCGATTAAATTAGATGTGTTTACATAATTATTATTGAATCAAAAATAAAAGATATTTCGTAAACATCAATCACTTTATTTACAATAATACAAAACGAGTGATTGGACATACTATTTAATTGATATTAATATAATCATTGAAATTTTTAACAAAATATAATTTATTTGAATTTAATAATAAAAATCTGAGTTAATTGTTAAAGGTAATTGGTAAATTGGTCAAGAGATCTTGAAACTTGAATTATTAAACGATTTTCGATAGGATTTTCTACCTAATTCAACTGTTGATTCCACAAAATCTTCACATAACAACGACAAATATGTTTACATACGATTTTTTGAAAATATGCTAATTATGTACAATTAGAAAAAATTCTATTTGCAGAACAATTCTACCAAATCTATTGATCTATTGATTTTGCATTATCTGCTTCGTTGTTCATGATTTCTAATAACAAATATTATTTTTTATCATTTTGCATAAAATTTGTGTCATTGTCATAACATTGAAATACATCAGACTCTATCTTAGAATTGATGACATCTGGGGCAAATTTGCTAATTTCACATAATGTGATGATTGAGATAATGATTATAAAATATTCAATGAATAATGATAGTATCAAATTCTTATAATTGTTTTGAACTTATGAATATTTGATGTCGACCTCTGAGTTATTGTTTGATTGCTTATTTATTTGCTGACATCGAGTTTCGAACAAAAATAGTTCACAAACAGAAAAAGCTTTATAAAACCATGCCAATAGTATTGAATCGAAGTATCTGTAAAAACGATAAAGGTACTTTTAAAAAATATGCAATATTTTTTTATTTTTTTTATTCTATAAATTACAACCTGTCTTTTCGAAAAAAAACTAACTAATTTTGAGATTGAAATGTGAAGTAGGTCTAAATGTGTAATCAAATCAAAAGATGTAAATACAACAGGAGTATAAAGAAAGTAAATAAAAAAATCAGTATATAAAAAAAGATTATTTCTCATATTTTTTATGATATAATACATGCAGAATAATGCATTGTAATTCTATGATAAATGAGTTGTAATTTTATTCTAAGAAAGCTAATAAAAAATATGAGTTTCTGATTGGCAAGCATAAAATAAAAGTATAAATTGTATAAATAATAGCTCTAAATATTGTTTATATATACACACATATATATATATATATATATATATATTAATTAATTAATTAAATAAAAAAATTAAATTGAACTATTGAAACATAAAATTTTTAAGTTTAACGTTTTTAGAACTATATTCATCAAGAATGGCTATAAATTGAAGAGAGAAATAGTCTATTTTATTTTTTGGCATATATTCTTTCTTGATCTATTATTCTCTCTTTCTTGATCTATTATTCTGTATGAAGAAAAGTATGAAATTTTTTTAAGAAAATTAACATTGTAAATAATATAAATATTTTTATAAACGCCTAAACTATTAGAGAAATATGTCTCAAATTATACAGAAAATAAGAGTGGTCGACCATTAAGTTGCTCTCTTTAGAACAATAGAATTAAGTTAAGATGCATGCCAGTAAAATAGATTTTTGAACACTAGTTATGATTGTTGTTCAAATAAATAAATTAAAAAAATGCAAGAAATACATCTAGTGATGCAACTTTTTATAGTGAGGTTACTAGAAAAAATCAAAAATAGAAAAAATAAATAAATTCTTAAGGAATTTTGTTTTCATTTGTTTTCGTTTCGAATATAAAAAAAAAATCGAAATATAAAAAAAATCTCATTTTTCAAAAAATCCCAATTTTTCAAAAAAGTCATTTTTTTAATTTTAAAAATTCTCCAAAAAATCATTTTTTTGCAAAGTTTTCAATCAATTTCAAAGGTTTTTCGAAAAAATTAAATTTTGGTACGGGAAGTTCCGGCAATTTACCTTAAGGCACGATGCCATGCACCACTAGTTTCATATTCGTATAAAATCATCTAGATCTATTATTTTCTACGACATCATAGCGGAGATGAGCAATTGACACGAAAGAAATGGGTCAGTGTACTCTCAACAATAGGTCGCAAAGTGCGAGAAAGTTTACAATCATAAATATCTCACCTCCATAAAGATTCTAATCTCGGCTAGTATTTTTTAAACACATTTTTTACACGGATAATTCAGGTTAAGACTACTGTAATGTAGAAGAATTTTGTTTTGTGTCAGAGAACGTATCGTTTACACATGTGAGAATTCGGTAATCGGAATTCATAATCGGATTAGCAAAATCTATTGATGTAGGTAAAAAATTACCTTAAAAATGACATTTTATAATTAATGTGATTTAATATAAAAGCTTACCTTACACTATTTTGATAATTTGCACCTTTTGTTTTATTAAAATTTTAATTTAAATATTAATCTAATGCAGCACTGTTTTATTATTATATTGCGTGCCTTCTGCCGATTTATTATGTGATACATTGTAGCAATGAATGTTTTTATTCGCACCAATTTGGTTTTTTTGAACATTAAAATTTTCTAACGATAAGCTGAGTCATCAAATGTGTGGCAAGTAAATAAGAAAGCAAAATTAATTAAAACCTCATCATATTTTTTATTCAGTGGTTTATTCCAAATATTCATTAGAATGAAATTTATACTATATTGTGACAGATTTAATGGTGAATATTAATATATATATAATAATATTCTAGTAACTCACTTAGAAATTACGGTTCGTGTGCATACTTTTTCATTTCAATTTCGGAATAAGCTTTGGAGGCGTTCATTAATCACGTGAGCACTGATCAAAATTAGCCCCTCCCCCTCCCTCACAAAACATCACGAGTATTTTTAGTTACGTGAAAAAACTGTGAAATTTTAGATTTATTTTAAAATGTTTGATTTTTTTTTAAAAAATTGTTAAAATACAAATTCATGTGATATCTTACTCTACCCCTCCCTCCCCCACGTGATATTTTGTGATCTTTTGTAAAACCCCCCTCCTCTTAAAAACCTCACATGATTAATGAACGTCCCCTTTAATTTTATTTAATTTGATTTACTCAAAAACCTTTCTTCATATAAACTCAAGTATTATATGTATAAATGGATTATATGTCTGTATGGATATGTATGTATTATATTGTATGGAGTGAGTTTGAACCGCCGCTCTGGATAGCCTGATACCATGCAGTAGTGATATCAATTTTATTTGAAAATATAGAACAAAATATGTTTCCAATTGCAAATAGCTCATTTAAGGCACTGTGGTGTGAAATGGCAATAGAAAATCTTTATCACTATGTTACCCCTATTGTTATTGTTAATATATCTTATTACATATACTCTAACAAGCAATTTACGTTTGATTTGTTAATTTAAATTGAAATGTCATCAATTCTTTATCGCAGTCATCAATGTTCTAGTTTTAGTTTGTTTTTACATTTTTGCAACGATGTTTATACTTACAAATGATTCATATTTGATTAGAAATAAATGGAGCATCTCAATAATATGCCAAGGACGCTTTCCTTGGACAGAAAGATGATAGAAAGGAATTTTTTGTTTTTTAGACAAAAATGTAATCAATGCTAAAGCTTCAAGCTAGATTGACAAGAACATATTTTTGAATGGCTTTGCACTTTTATTCATTCACTAATCTAATATTATTTGATTCAAATCAAAAAATGTCTGAAGTCATAAAGAATGTGATTTCGATATGCATTTTGACAAGACACATCCAGTCTCAAAGCTTTCTGTTTCAGTCAGAAAAATATGCATAAAA